TGTATTTCCATATCAGCTTTGTCATCTTTTTTCTGGATTCCCAATCCTAAACATCTGCTAATAAAAGTCAGTCCACTTCTGCCAGTGGCAGAGACAGGATACTTGGCTAGATGGAACCATTGGTCTGACTCATGGCAATTCTTACGACTCTGCAGGCAGCTATATTTAACTGAATCATTAGGTCTAGCAAAATCCAAATAACTAAATGGGACCACTTGTACTTTAACTAATATAATTTAACTTCCCTTCAGTAAGGATCACCACTTTTAGTACTACCTCACCTGTTTCCATTTCTCAAACAGGTATGGATCTTTGATGGCCCTGGAGGTGGTGGTCGCTTGTTGAGGTATCGAATGGGACATAGTGCACCTCCAACAAAAATCAGATACCATGGGCAAAATGGACAGCAAATTCTTAGTGCAGGTGAGATTTTTTTGGATTTAAACTTACATGCTTACTGGCTAATGACGACAAAGACTGAGGATGGACAAAACAAATTATAATGATTTAAAAAGTACGGGCATATATACTGTGTGTTAACTTGAGCTGCAGTAACTGTTTCATCTGTCTGCTCTATCCAATGCTAAATGGAAACTAACCTGCAATAATTTATCCACTGTTTCATTGTGGAATAAATATATTGTGGTTCAGCTTCCACTTATCACAGGATAAAGCAGACAAATGAAGCAAGTTACAACATATTAATTGGGTCTGCCATAAGTCTTCTTTAATTCCTCCCTAGTCCTTGCATGCATTTTATCTCTCCACATCCAGAGATAAATAACTGGGTGTATCTTTTTGTTTTGAAAGTACATAGAAAATAACTGGATTTGTACGTTATTTTGATATATCATATTTCCTTGCATACAACACACATCTTTTTTCCAAAAATAAGCTGCTGGAAATGGGGGCTGGAGGAAGGTTTAAACAAGGAAATTTTGGGAGTAGCAATATCTGCAGCTTAAGGATCTACTGGAAATTGGGGAGGGTAGAGGATAAAGTAATGCTACACATGTAGCACATGGCAGCATGGTATATTATGTATTAGGGAGGCTCCTCACCTCTTGGCTGTGGACATTTCCCTTTCCCCCATCTCCCCCACCAAGCAGAGGCTCAGGCTGCAAAAGCTGTAGACTGCTAGCAGTAGATGGGCCGGCTGTATTTAGAAATGCAGAGGAGCTGAGTGCCAGGTGACTGACCTCAGTAGGTGCTGTTGGCTAGGATCAGGTCCTCTGCTGATCTGGCAGATGCTGCTGGCTCCCCACCCTGCTCAGATTAAGAAGAGAAGAGGAGTTGGACAGCTTAGCTCAGCCAGGAGTACCTAAGGAATTCAGATAGGGGGTTAACGAAGCAGCCACAAGGTTTCTCCTCTCCTGCTGCTGTAGCTGACTGTCTTTTCACTGGTGAAAATACCGTATTTACCAGTATTTTCAAGGAAAGATCTTTTTTCCTTTATTCTGTTTTTCAAAAACAAGGCCCATATCTTATTCAGGGGTCTGTTGTATGTGAGAGGGTACATTTATTAATGAGTATTTGTGAAATGACAACTGTATGACTCGGTATTTAGATTTATGATAACAGATCATTTCACAGTGTCCCAAAGAGAATGGATACACAGATTCTAACTCCTTTGATTTCAAAGTACAGATTGAATCTTGAACTAGAAGACCATGTTGAGGCTAAGATGAAAATCACATAGTGATTTTTAGAAATTTTGGCTACTATGCATCATTTACTGACGACATAATATATTTAATAACTAAACAAATCTAGAAATTATTTTACTTCCCCCATCATCTCAGGCGTGACTAATAAAGGCACTCTGTATGATTTGTGGCTGTTTACTACTATAGCTATATGAATCATGGCTATGGTGCATCTTGGCCACAAGCCTCTGCAGCTGTATCTATTCAAAAGTCATCACTTCTTTAGTAGCGAATGAACATGGGCCTCCATGCACATAACATTCCCAAATCCCATTTCTGTCCCTGCTCTCTCTTTACCCTGACCTTGCTTCTGTCCCTTGCACAGTTGTCCTCATACAAAACCTTTTTCTGTAATGTCCAGCCACTGCTTCCTGCTTTTCCCTCCCTATGCAATCTTACTTTTGCTAGGGGTGCACCAATAGACATTTTTTGGGCTTATACCAATGGCCAATTTTTAAGGAGCCATATCGGTTGGTACCAATCCAATTTCAATATGCAGCTTGGCAGCTTAGAGACCAGCATTGGGCTGGTAAGTCTGGTCTGGGAGTGGCAGGAGGAAAGAGGTGTGGCATGAGGGGGCAAATCGAGGCCCCCACGGTGAGCAAGGGAGTGGGGCAAGGGCGGGCACAGGTGCTGCTCAGCCGGTGTGGGGCATGGGAGAGAGCTGCAAGTGGCTCATGTCGGGGGTGGGGGCTCCTGCTGTTGCGCACACCCCAGGAGGGCATGGTTGGGGGGGGCATAGATTTATAGATGTAGGGTTGGAAGGGACCTTGCAGATCTTCTAGTCTAACCCCCTGCCCTGGGCAGGAGAGAAAACTGGGCTCAAATGACCCCAGCTAGGTAATTGTCAAGCCTCTTCTTAAAGACCCCCAAGGTAGGAGCCAGCACTGCTTCGCTTGGAAGTGGGTTCCAGATCCTAGCCGCCCTGACTGTGAAGTAGCGCCTTCTAATGTCTAGTCTGAACCTACTCTCTAACAACTTATGGCCATTATTCCTTATTACTCCTGGAAGCACTCGGGGGAACAAGGTCTCTCCCATTCCCCGCTGGTCCCCACTAGTAAGTTTATAGATGGCCCTCAGATCCCCTCTCAGCCTTCTCTTTTGTGAAGGCTGAACAGGTTAAGATCCCGTAGCCTCTCTTCGTAGGGTCTGCCCTGCTGTCCCCGGATCATGCGAGTGGCCCTCCTTTGGACCCTCTCAATGCTGGCCACATCCCTCCTGAAGTGCAGCGCCCAGAACTGGACTCAGTACTCCAGCTGCAGCCTCACCAGTGTTGCATAGAGGGGGAGGATCACATCTTTGGCCCTGCTTGTGATGCATCTGTGGATGCACGACAAGGTGCGGTTAGCCCTACTGACCATGTCTTCACATTGTCGGCCCATGTTCATCTTGGAATCGATAGTGGCTCCAAGACTCTTTCTGCCACCATGCTTTCGAGATGGGAGTTCCCCAGCCTATAGGTATGCTGCTGGTTCTTACTGCTCAAGTGCAGCACCCTGCACTTGTCAGTATTGAATCCCATCCTGTTCTCATTTGCCCATGCCTGTAACCTGTCCAGGTCCAGCTTTATCCTGTCCCTCCCTTCTAGCGTGCCCACCTCACCCCAAATCTTGGTGTTGTCCATGAATTTAAACAGGGTGCTTTTCACCCCCTTGTCCAAGTCACTAATAAAGAAATTGAACAGTGCCG